AACTCCTCGCATTAACAACACGTGGCGTGAAAGCGCTGGCACCTTTCTCCGCGCACAGGGCTTTGCAAGGACGGAGGGACTGGGGAAAGCCAGGCTCAAGTCGCGCGTCTCACCCTCCGTGGTCTGGAAAAAAGGGGGATCTGAAAGGGAAAAGACAGAGGATGTGTGCGCGCCCCCTAAAATATCTGGTCAATTTTCCGTGTCAACTGCATTAACAACACGTGGCGTGAAAGCGCTGGCACCTTTCTCCGCGCACAGGGCTTTGCAAGGACGGAGGGACTGGGGAAAGCCAGGCTCAAGTCGCGCGTCTCACCCTCCGTGGTCTGGAAAAAAGGGGGATCTGAAAGGGAAAAGACAGAGGATGTGTGCGCGCCCCCTAAAATATCTGGTCAATTTTCCGTGTCAACTACCCCCAGCTGGTTTCCCTGCAATTTACCTGGACTCTGCTCAGTTTCTGCGGACACTTATCCCCTAGAGCTCACAGATCAGCCAGAGCTACAGCAGCAACGCGCAGATATTTACATAATTTAACCCAATTAACGGTGCTATTGTTATAGCTGCTCCAGCCGCAGTTACAGGCGATCCGGCTTCAGGCAGCTCCAGGCTGTACTGCGAGGGCGACAATTTTGTAGGCTTAGGGATTTATTTGTGTTCCGACTTGAGCTATTAATCGGTGCTTAGGCTCCGCGTGAAACTATATTTCCACAGAAATAGTCAGGATAAATATAATTTAGCAGATCGCATGTTTGCAAACCACAATAATGGTCCTTAAAACTAATCCTGACGCTCCGCATCCCGCTGCAGTGGGTGTTTAAGCTATCACGCTCCTCTTTAATTATCTTATTACACCAGAAAAGCAAATCACCCTTTGCATAGTTGTTTCGGAGAACGCTGTGCTCTTTAATCTCCAATTACCCGACAAGGAAAGTTATATCCCTGGGCAGGGCTTTGCTGGATTCAAAATATATCGCTCCCTTGCTTTTCTAAACTTCGGTAATCAAAGCTCCTCTTTTATGTTCTGCTCCCAACGAGAGCTCCTCACTGACTGATCTTTTTACCAAACACGCGTCTATATCTGTCTCGCCGGAGCTTTTAACAAAGGGGACCCTTGTCACTTTTTCGGGGAGTACATTTCAAATTGTTTCCTGAGATGGTGGAATAAATACCATCCCGAAGGACTTGTTTTCCATCAGCATTTTGTGCGTTAACATGGAAACTGCAGACATCTCTTAACTTTCTGGCCACTGAAAAGTTCGTGCCTCGTGGAAAAAAAAAGGGGGGGGGGGGGCAAAAAAAAGGGGGGGGGGGAGCTGCACAAATCCTCAGACAAAGAAATTGTGCATATAAAATCTCTTTTCTCCCACTACCTATGAAATTGAAAAAGAGCCGTCAGTATAATTT